AGCAGTGGTTTGCTTATTCTGGGTCTCTTTCCTTTCCATATAAAGTTTGTAATTGTTTTGTCCATCTCTTTGAATAATGTTGTTGGAATCTGGATTGGGATTAAATTATATGTGTAAATTGCTTTGGGCAGTATTGACATTCAACGTTAAGTCTTCCTATCCAGGAGCATGGTACATTCTTTCATTTTTGTAGGTCTCTTTTGGTTTCTTGTAGTAGTGTTTTATAGTTTTCTTTGTATAAATTCTTTGTTTCTCTGGTTAAATATATTCCTAGATATTTCATCCTTTGGGTGGCTATTGTAAATGGTATTACTTTCCTAATGTCCTTTTCAATGTTGTCGTTTTTGGTAGAGGAATCCAGCTGATGTTTGTATGTTGATCTTATATCCTGCCACTTTGCTGAATCTTCCAATGAGGTCTAGTAGCTTTTTTTTACTGAGTCTTTGGGGTTTTCTACGTATAGGATCATATCGTCTGCAAATAGAGTTTTACTTCCTCTTTGCCAATTTGGATGCCTTTAATTTCCCTGTCTTGCCATATAGCCCTTGCTAAGACTTCCAGCTCAATATTGAATAGGAGTGGTGACAAAGGGCATCCTTGTCTGGTTCTTGTTTGCAGTGGGAAGGCTTTCAATTTTTCTCCATTGAGAGTAAGGTAGGCTGTTGGTTTTGTGTATATGCTCCTAATTATGTTAAGGAATTCCCCTTCAATTCCTATTTTGTTGAGTGTTTTTATCAGGAATGGATGTTGGATTTTGTCAAATGCCTTTTCTGTATCAATCGATATGGTCATGTGGTTCTTTTTTTTTTTTTTCTTATTTATATGGTGGATAACGTTGATCATTTTTCTAATGTTGAGCCATCCTTGCATCCCTGATATGAATCCTACTTGATCATTATGTATGATCATGATGTGTATCATGATATATTATCTTTTTAATGTGTTGGCTAGGATTTTGTTGAGAAATTTTGCATCTGTATTCACGAGGGATAGTGTCTATAATTATCTTTCTTAGTGATTTCCTTCCATGGTTTTGGTATGAGGGTTATGCTTGCTTCATAAAATGTATTACGAAATTTGCTTTCTTATTGTATGATGTTCTTGATGTCATTCCACAGCTCTTCTGGTCTTCAATCATTAATGGCTAATGCATCAAGTGTGTTCTTGATATGATTCTAAATTTGATCTTTTCAAGGTCAAATTTTAGCTCTTGTGTACTTGTTTTAATTGTCTTCAGCTTCAACCAGAACTTGCATATGAGCAATTGGTGGTCTGTTCCATAATCTGCCCCTGGTCTTATTTTCTTGTTTCAGCTGATCATATGGAGCTTCCCACCCCCTCTCTTCCCACAGATGTCATTTTGATTTCTGTGTATGTCATCTGGTGAGGTCCTTGTGTATAATCATCTTTTGTGTTGTTTAAAAAAGGTAATGAAGAAGTCATTGGTCTTGTAAAATTCTATCATTGCTGTCACCAAGTCCATATTTTCCAACTACTAAGCCTTCCTTTTGTTTTCCTACCTTTACATTCCATTCACCAGTAATTATCAGTACATTTTGATAGTGTGTTTGATCAGTCAGACTGAAGAAGTTGGTAGAATTCTTCAGTTTCATCATCACTGGCTTTAGTGGTTGGTGCATAAATTTGAATAATAGTGGTATGAACTGGTCTTCCTTGTAGGTGTATGGATATTATCCTATCACAGACAGCATTATACTACAAGATATATCTTGAAATGTTCTTTTTGATGATGCATGTGACCCTGTTCCTCTTCAATTTGTCATTTCCTGCATTGTAAACCATATGATTGTCAGATTCAAGTGGCCAATACTAGCCCATTTCAGCTCACTAATGCCTAGGATATCAATCTTTATGCATTCCATTTCATTTTGGAGAACTTTCCATTTTTCTAGATTGATACTTCATCTCTGGTGCAAGGTCAATTTGAACTGCAAGCAAGCTTAGCAGTCACTCGTTAAAAACCCTATACAGGGTCGGTATGAGTCAGAAATGACTTGATGGCAATTAACTGCAATGTACGTCATACATTCCATATTCCAATTATTAATGGATATTTACAGTCATTTCTCCTCATTTTGAATTGTGCTCATCAGCAAATGAATATCCCAAAAACTTTTACTCCATTTGCATCATCACTGTCAACTCCACTCTTAGGAGGCATATTTTGAGTGCCTCCCAACCTTAGGAAAGGAGCTCTGGTAGCGTAGTGGTTACGAATCAGGCTGCAAACTGCAAGGTCAGCAGTTCGAAACTACCAGCTGCTCCTCGGGAGAAAGATGAGACTTTCTGCTCCCGTAAAGATTTGCAGCCTCAGAAACCCTGTACCAGGGTCTCAATGAGTCGGAACCGACTCCACGGCACATAACAACAACAACAACAACCTTAGGGGAGCGCATCTTCTGGTACTATATCTAGAATTATTCTTGTGCTGTTCATCATTTTTCAATATTCAGTATTCTGATGCTATCTGACAGTGTTCCACTGTTATTCATAAGGTTTTCCGTGGCAGACATTCAGAAGTAGTAGGCCTCTCCTTCTTCCTAGTATGTTTTAGACTGGAAGCTTAGCTGAAACTTGTCTACCATGGGTATATACCCTGTTGGTATTTAAAATGCTGGTAGCATAACTTCCATAATCACAAAAACACTCAAGCCACCAGAGTACAACAGACTAACAAACAAGTGAATTCATGATTCTATCAAGAAGTGGCTGTCTCAAAATTATACTTTCCTTTATATTTTTACTAAGACTGTAACTATGTCATTGTTAAATCACCAAGAAGTAATTTAATTCTATTGTCTGTGCAGACTTTCTAAAGAAGATAAAGCCTTTTTATGGGAGAAACGTTATTATTGTCTCAAACACCCAAATTGTCTTCCTAAAATACTGGCAAGTGCCCCAAACTGGAAATGGGCTAATCTTGACAAAACTTATTCATTGCTTCAACAGTGGCCTCCATTGGACCCACTGACTGCTTTAGAACTTCTTGATTCGAAGTAAGTTAACTGTGGATGCATTTATTTACTTAGTTTTATTGTTGTCATTTTTCTAGTGAAGTATTACGCTATAGGAATAGTATTTTTCTAATGGGTTAGTATAGTTATCCAATACATTGTAAATGTGTAAATGTATACCTATACAAATACATTTTTTGCATTTCAGTTACGAATGAAACATTTTCACATAGTTTTAAATAAATCTAAATAGGGTTGGGTGAAAATTTTTAATTATTTGTTGAATTTTATGTTGTGTACTGAAATTCATTTTCATAATCTTAAGCTTTTCAAATGTTCATAAAATTAGTCTATATAGCACTAAGATATTCTTCCTTAAAAAAAAAAAAAGAAAAGAATAGCACATTGGTTTTGAACAACTCTGTTTGAGTATTATTTGTCAGGAATCTATTGAGATTGTGTTTTCAGGAAACACAGCTTCCTTAGAAAGATGACTATCAAATCTTGATTACTGTGTTATTCTCCTAGATTTGCTGATCAGGAAGTGAGGTCCCTAGCTGTGACCTGGATTGAGGCCATTAGTGATGATGAACTAACAGATCTTCTTCCACAGTTTGTACAGGTGAGATTTTTGTTAGGTTATCTTCCTCTTCAACCTCCCCCATTTTTATGAGCAGTGAACTTGCTAAGTGATATACCTTCTGTTTTGATAAAAAATAGTGTGAAATGACTTAAGGGATTGCATTTAAATTTAGTGTGATTTTTCTCCCAATATTATCATCTGTCCCACTTGAATATTATACAAGGGGACTTCAGAATCTCAGAACAAACCAAAACTGAGCATTTTATGTACTTGACCATTTAAATATAACTAATAAATGTAATTCCTGAAATAATTTTTTTGCTAGATTTAATTATTTGGCCTTAAGTTAATTCATTTGTTTTGTTTTTATGAGTATTCTTTTTCATCAGTAAGAGTAATATTTGCTATATATAGTTTATCTTTTGCTAATTTTATCTTAGCAGTTTCTTCCCCAAAACCAAAGGTCTCATGTATTTATTAGTCAATCTCTTAATGCAGAAGCATCAGAACAAAAGGAAGAAACCAGATATTCCCAATACATGTTCAGTTGACCAGATTGTGGCAACCTTTTAAACTTAATATTGGTAGAATGCTAATGAACCTCGTCACGTGTGCCATCACATGTGAAACTCCTTATAAACCATGCTTGGTTCTTTCCCAATGTCTGCTCTTGGAGTTGTATTTGATTTAATACCAGTTTTCATTAGAACCCATTGGGAAGTTTGCTTTTGTTTCTTGACTAGGAATCTCTTGATTTTGAAAGTCTTATGAGAAGACTTAGCAAGGATGGAAGAGGGCTACACACACCATGATGGCAGAGAAAGGGAGAGTTTATCTTAGCAATTTAGTATGGATTTGACCAGTAGTAATGCCTATTTTCCTTTACATGTAGGCTTTGAAATATGAAATTTACTTGAACAGCTCATTAGTACGCTTCCTTCTGTCCAGGGCATTGGGAAATATCCAGATAGCACACAATTTATATTGGTAAGATTTCAATTTTATTTAAGTACCTTATTTCAAGTATATATAGAGATGACTTGACTTCGAACCACAAGGCTGGCAGTTTAAACCCACCAGCTGCTCCAAGGGAGAAAGATAAGACTTTCTGCACCTGAAAAGATTTAAAGCCTTGGACAACCTATACAGAGTCACTATGAATTAGAACTGACTCAACAGCACTTAACCTAGAGATGACTTACTCTTTAAGTCCAAACAATATACCCAGGCTGTTTACTGTGGATACAAGATACTGTGTTGAAGGCATTATTATAAATAAGCTAAATTCTTATTTCCTTAAAAATAAATCCAAAAATTAAAATGCCTTCTGTTGCAAGATATTTTACATGTTATAGCAGTAAGTAACGTTTTTATGCTTATATAGCTTAAAGAATCCCTGGGTGTTACAAATGCTTAATGTGTTCTGCTGTTAACTGTTGCATTGGAGTGGGTTTCAACTCATAGTGACCCTGTGTAGAGTTTCTAAGGCTTTAAATCTTTTTGTGGGAACAGAAAGTCTCATCTTTCTCCCGTGGAGCGGCTGAGGGGCTCGAACCGCCCACATTGTGGCTTGCAGTCCACTATTTATCCTACTGCTGTCAACTGAGAGGTTGGAAATTTGAGTCCGCCCAGAGGCATCAGAAGAAAGACCTGTTGATCTGCTTCCAAAAAATCAGCCGTTAAACCCTAAAGAGTACAGTCCTACTCTTCACACACATTGTGAGTTGTTGTCAAGTTAATTCCAACTCACAACAAGCACATATATTAAAGAGTAGAAGTGCTCCATAGGATTTTCTTGACTTAATGTTCAGAAGTAGATTGCCTCTCCGTCTTCTGCAATACCCTTGGGTGGGTCCAAACCACCAGCATGTAGGGTAGCTGTTGAGCACAAACCATTTATGTCACCTAGGAACCCTTTTTTTTCTTTTATAACTTAAAGTCAATTCCTGATTACCAAAAATTAAGCTTGTTAAGTTGATTTTCCAGGGAGGTTTATCCAGTTCTCAGAAGTGGCTGACATAAATATTTTGCTGTATTAGGCTCCTGAAGGATGCACTGCACGATGCACAGTTTGGTGCCCGGTATGAACATGTTTTGGGTGCTCTCCTTTCCTTGGGAGGAAAAGGCCTCAGAGAAGAACTTTTAAAGCAGACAAGACTCGTACAGCTTTTAGGAGGTGTAGCAGAAAAAGTAAGGCAGGCTAGTGGATCAGCCAGACAGGTACGTATTCATAAAACAGATCTTAAATGTTTTGCTGTTAAAGAATCTTTGTGGCGCTAGTAAGTTTAGATTTTATTCTTTGTTAGTAGACTTCCAATACCAGTAAAACTCTGTAACGTACCTGTTTGGAACAGATGAATACAAAAGTTACTCAAAATTAATAGAAACAGATTTCGCAGTCTAACTCAGAAAATCCATCCTTTTAAATTTCTGTCCTTATTAATTTTTTAGTCACTTACTCTATTCAGTTTTTTATTTTGAGTTTTAATTTTTTGTAAGTATAAAAGATGAAAGTATGAGTGGATGCTGATTTTTTAAAAATTCAAATCATGGATTTATAGAATAAATTTTAAGACTTTACCGTTTCCCTCTCCCATGTAGTTATTAATAGTTTGCTGTATGTCCTTCTTGATTATTTTCTATGACTTTACATGTATAAACAAGTTTATCTATAGATCTTTGGAGTGTTAAATTTTTTTAAAATAGAAATAAGACTATAATGTATATATGTTTTATTGAGGTAAAAAAAATGGCCATTTTAACCATTTCTAACTTTACAATTCAGTTACTTTTAGCATAGTCACAATATTATGTCAAAACAATTGTGAGTATGACAGAACAGAACAGTGTTTCCTTCTGTTTTGCATGGGGTTACTATGAGTCAACCTGACTCAAGGGCACCTAACAACAACAACAAAACATTTATCACCTCTAAAGAAACTCACTATGAAGTCATTCCCTATCGTCCCCTCCTCCCAGCCCCTGGCAAGCAGCTAAGCCTTGTTACCATTAAGCTATCACTCCCAATTTCTCCTTACCCCCAGCTCCTGTTAAACACTTACTTTTTGTTTCTATGAAGTTGCCTGTTTTGAACATTTTAGATAAATAGAATCATTCAGTATGTGACCTTTGGTATTTAGCATCTTTCATGCACCATAATGTTGTAGCATGTGTAAGTACTTCATTCTATTTTATGGCTTAGTAATATTCCATTATATGAATATACCACACTTGGTGTAACCATTCATCAGTTGATGGACATTTTGGTTGTTTCCAGCTTTTGACTATAAAGAATAATGCTGCTATGTACATTCATGTACAAATTTTGTTTGTATACATGCTCAAATACCTAATTCAATTTTCTTGGATACATACCTAGGGGTGGACTTTCTGGGTCATATGTTTAATTAATTAAGGAGTCATGGTGTGGTACTATAGGATAAGTACTCAACCTTAAGGTCTGTTTGAACTGCAAGGTTGGCAGTTCAAACTCACCAGCCACGACTCGGAAATTTTATACAGGATCATTATGAGTCAGAACCGACTCGACAGCGCTTAAAATCAACAGCAACAACAATATTTAATTAAAACATGCATTTAGTTAGGAGTCCTGGCGTGGTGCTGCAGAATAAGCACTGGATTACTAACTATAAGGTCAATGGTTTAAACCCGCTAGCCACTCCTCAGAAACACTGTACAGTGGGATGTTTTGAGTTGAAACTGACTCAACAACACTTAAAAACAACAATTATGTTTAATTCGTAAACTCCTGTGTTTAATATTTTTAAGAACTGCCAAACGTGACTGCACCATTTACAGCCCTAACAGCAAGGATGTAAGTTTCAGTTTCTCCACATCACTTGGTATTTTCCATTTTCATTATAGCATCCTACTGAATATAACCACCACTCATCTGTCAGTTTGCTGTACTACAGTGGCTTGCGTGTTGCTGTGATTCTGGAAGCTATGCCACAGTATTTTAAATACCAGCAGGTTCAACCACGGTGGACAAGTTTCAGATGAGCTTTCAGAAGAAGACAAACTTGGAAGTAGAGATGGACTACTTCCAAATATTTAATCACTGAAAACCTTATGAATAGCAGTGGAACACTGTCAGATAGCACCAAAATATTGATTATTGAAATATGATGAAGAGTACTGGCATATTGTCAGATACAGTGCCAGAAGATAAACCCCTCAGGTTGGAAAGCACTCAAAATACAACTGCCTCCTCAAAGTAGAGTTGGCCATGATGATGCAAATAGAGTAAAGCTCTCTGGACCTTCATTTGCTGATGGGGCACAACTCAAAATGAAGAAAAACAGGTGTAAACATGGATTAATAATCAGAACATGGAATTATGAAGTATGAATCTAGGAAAATTGAAAATTCTCAGAAATGAAGTGGAACACATAAACTTTAATATCCTAGGCAATTAGTGAGCTGAAATGGAATGATATTGGCCATTTTGAATCTGACAATCACACATGGTTTACTGTGTCGGGAATTACAAATTGAGGAGGATTGGCAATGCATCCATTATCAAACAGAACATATCAAGATCTGTTTCGAAGTACAGCACTGCCTATGATAGGATAATATTCAGACACCTACAAGGAAGAGGAGTTACTACCAACCACGGTTACTCAAATTTACTGACCAACCACTAAAACCAGTGATGATGAAGTTGAAGAGTTCTATAAACTTCTTCAGACTGAAATTGATCAAACATGCTGTCAACACTGGTGACTGGAATGTAAGGGGTGAAAACAAAGAGGAAGGATCAGTCTTTGAAAAATATGGCCTTGGTAATGGAAACAATGCTGGAGCTCACATGATAGAATTTTGCAAGACCAGTGACTTCTTCATTGCAAATACCTTTTTTTTTTTCCTCCTGTTGTGAGCTGAGTGACAGTTTACATGGGAGAACATCAGCTTTTATGCCATCGTTTTATTGCAATGATTACAATCTTCTTCATGCATCATCATTCAACGTGCAAATACCTTTTTTAAGCAACATAAAAGATGACTATATGCATGGACCTCACCAGATGGAATACACAGAAATCAACCTGACTACATCTATGGGAAGACACAGTGGAAAAGCTCCATATCATCAGCTAAAACAAGGCCAGGGGCAAACTGTGGAAGAAACCATCAGTTACTCATATGGAAGTTCAGGCTGAAGCTGAAAAAAAAAACAACAACAAATCTATGAGAACGAAAATATGACCTTGAATATATACAACCTGAATTTAGAGATCATCTGAAGAGAAAGACCAAAGACCAGAAGAGTTACGGGATGACATCAACAGCATCATACAGGAAGAAAGCAAAAGATCATTAAAAAGACAGCAGAAAAAGAAAAGACAAAAATGAATGTTAGAAGAGACTCTGAAACTTGCTTTCCAGAATAGAGATGCTGAAGCAATAATGAGGAATAAATGAGGAAGTGAAAGCTGAACAGAAAATTTCAAAGGTCAGCTCGAGAAGACAAACTCAAATATTATAACAAACTGTACAAATGGTTGGAGTTAGAAAACCAAAAGGGAAGAACACACTCAGCATTTCTGAAGCTGAAGGAACTGAAGAAAAAATTAAATCCTTGATTTGTATATTGAGGGATTATATGGGCAAAATATTGATTTATGCAGAAAACATTAAAAGAAGATGGAAGGAATACACAGAGTCACTGTACAAAAAAAAAAACAAAGTCGATGTTCAGTCATTTCAAGAGCCAATGATCCCAAAGGAAAACGTTCAAGGTGCATTGAAGGCATTGGCAAAGAATTGGGTTCCAGGAATTGATGGAATATAAATTGAAATCTTTGAACAAACTGATGTAGCACTGGAGATATTCACTCACCTGTGCCAAGAAATTTGGAAGACAACTACCTAGCTAACTTACTGAAACAGATCCATATATGTGCCCATTCCAAAGATAGATAACCCAATGGAATGTGTAAGTCCTCGGACAGTATCATTAACATCTCATGCAAGTAAAGTTTTGCTAATGAGAATAAAAAATGGATGCAAGCACACATTGACAGAGAACTACCAGAGGTTCAAGCTGGTTTCAGAAGAGGACATGGAATGAGGGATATCATTGCTGATCAGATGGATCTTGACTGAAAGCAGTGAAAACAAGAAAGATGTTTACCTGTACTTTATCGACTATGCGTTATCGATTGTGTGGATCATGACAATCTATGGAAAACATTGCAAAGAATGAGTATTCTGGAAAGCTTAATTGTGCTTATGAGGAACCTGTACATAGACCAAGAGGCAGTTGTTTGAACAAAACAAGGGAACACTGAATGATTTTAAATTAGCAAAGGTGTATGCCAGGGTTGCATTCCTTACCATACTGTCAGTCTGTATGCTGAGCACATAATCTACAAAGCTGGATTATATGGAGAAAAATGTGGCATCAGGATTGGAGGAAGACTCATTAACAATGTGCGATATGAAGATGATACAACCTTGTTGGCTGAAAGTGAAGAGGACTCAAATACTTACTGATGAAGATCAAAGACCACAGCCTTCAGTATGGGTTGCACCTCAATGTAAAAAAAGACAAAAATCCTCACCATTGGACTAATAAACAACATCCATATAAATGGAGAAAAGATTAAAGTTGTCGAAGACTTCATTTTGCTTGGATCAGCCATCATCACTCATGGAAGCACCAGTCAGTAAATCAAATGACGTATTGCATTAGGCAAATCTGCCACACAATACCTCTTTTAAAGTGTTCAAGAGTAAAGATGTCAGTTTGAGGACTAAGGTGTACCTAATCCAAGCCATGGTATTTTCAGTAACTTCATATGCACGTGAAAGTTGGACAGTGAATCAGGAAGACCATAGAAGAATTGATGCATTTGAGTTACGGTATCAGAGGAGAATATTAATGGACTGCCAAAAGAACAAACCAATCTTGTGTTTAAAGAGGTACAGCCAGAATGCTCCTTGGAAGCCAGGATGGCCAAACTTCATCTCACATACTTTGGACACATTATCAGGTGGAACCAGTTCTTGAAGGAAGGATACCATATTTGGCAAAGGAGCTCTGGTAGCGTAATGGTTACGAATCGGGCTGTGAACCTTAGGGTCAGCAGTTCAAAACTACCAGCTGCTCCGCGGGAGAAAGATGAGGCGTTCTGCTCCCGTAAAGATTTACAGCCTTGGAAACCCTGTACAGGGTCGTTATGAGTCGGAACCGACTCCACGGCACATAACAACAACAGGATTGGAGAAAAAGAGGAAGACCCCCCAACGAGATGGATTGTCACAATGGTAGCAGCAGTGGACTCAAATGTAGCAATGACTGTGATGTTGGCCCAAAACCGGACAGTTTTTTGTTCTGTTGTGCATAGAGTCTGTATGAGTTGGTGCATACTCAGTGGCACCTAACAACAACAAAAACTGAATATAAAGTGGTATCTCTTTGCATTTGGATTTGCATTTCCCTGATCACTAATAATGTTGAAGATCTTTTCATGTGCTTATTAAGCATTTATATATTTTCCTTGGAGAATTGTCTACTTAGATTCTTTGCCTATTTCTTATTTGGCTTGTCTTTTTGTTACTGAGTTGTAAGTTATTTATATGTTCTAGATATGAGTCCCTTATCAGACACATGATTTGCAAATACTTTCAAACATTCTGTGAATTGTCTTCACTTTCTTAATAGTGTCCTTTGTTCTATAAAAGTTTTTCATTTGAATGAAATCCAGTTTATCTATTTTTTAATCTTTTGTTGCTCATGCTTTTGGTGTCATAACTAAGAATCCATTGCCAGATTCCAGGTCAAGAAAATTTATCTCCATGTTTTCTTCTTAGAGTACTATAGTTTTAGCTCTTAACATTTACATCTTTGATCCATTTTGAGTTAATTTTTACATGTGGTATGATAAAAGAGTCCAACTTTATTCTTTTCATGTGGCTATCCAAATGTTTCAGCACCATTGTTTTCCATGTTGCCATCCAGATGCCTCAGCACCATTGGTAGAAGAAATGTTCTTTTTCCCTGTGAATGATCTTGATCCCTGTTGAAAATCATTTGGGTTTAGATGTATGGATTTATTTCTGGACTTTCAGTTCTCCTCCATGGATTCTTATGCCTATTTTTATGTCAGTACCAGATTGTTCTGAGTACTATAGTGCTGAAGTAAATTATGAAATTGGAAAGTGTAAATAGTCCAACTTTGGTCTTGTTTATCAAGATTGATAGGGATTCTCAGAGCCCCTTGAAATTAATATGAAATTTTCATAAAAATTGTATTAAATCTATATATCATTTTAGAAAGTATTGCCATCTCAATTAACTATCTTAAATCTTCTAATTCCTGAACTCAGGATGCCCTTCCATTTATTTATATCTTAAATAATTTCTTTTAACAACTAATACATTCTTTTTTGGATAATTGTTTATTTTGTTTCATCTTAGTGATATATGTCAGTACATATAATTCATTTTTATTGATGGTTGCATATATTACAAGGTGGTGGTTGTGTTAACTGCCGTCAAGTCAGTTGCAACTCTTAGCGACCCTGCTTAGGGTTTCCAAGGAGCAGCTGGTGAGCTTGAACTGTCGACCCTGAGGTTCAAACTGACCTTGTGGTCCAGTGTTAGTCCTACAGCGCCACATCAGGACTCCGTATTATAAGGTATTATAGTATAAATTACGAATCATTACTTCTATGTAGGTTGTTTCCGTTTTGTTTTTTCCTTTCCTAAATAGTGCTGCAATAAACTTTAATGTGTAAGTCTTTGCTCCTTTGCTAGTATTTCTTTATAGGATATTCCTACAGAGAAAAAGCAAACTGTGTACATTTTCAATTATGATCATTTCTACTAGATTGCTCAACAACACCAACAACAAAACATGACTATATATATTCTTCACTTTCCCTAACAGGTTATTAAAGTATGCTCACTCATACTCGTTATGCACTGGCTGTTACCTTAAAATTTTATATGATAGAAGAGTTTTGCTTATTTTCAATTTCTTTGCCAGTTAATGAACTTTAACATTTTTGTACATGTTGATTGACCGTATGTACTTTTTCCTACTCCAATACTAATTTTGTATTTTATAATAAAACAACTTCCTTTAGCCATTTTGGAAATTGGACATTTTATAATTGAAACTTATGGAAACTATCCCTTGAAATTGTATTTGCAGCATCATTTTATTATCTTAAGGATAGATGTTCATTTTCATTGTATTCTCAGAGTATCGATTTCTTTCTGTAGGTTGTCCTCCAAAGGAGTATGGAGCGAGTGCAGTCCTTTTTTCTAAGGAATAAATGTCGTCTCCCTCTCAATCCAAGTCTTGTTGCAAAAGAATTAAATATTAAGGTGACATAAAATACTTATATGTTCACATTTTGTTTCAAAACAAGCATAGGAAGAAAACAAATGGGCAGATATGCAATGGCAAATGAGGCTAAAACCTGCATAGTTTGGTTTTAATTATGTATGAATATATGTTTGTGAGTAAGGTCCACATTTATCTCAGCATATTTTTTACCTAATCACCATTCTAGAAAGACTACAAAGTGTAAAATCATTTGCTACTTGGGAATAAATAATTTTTTCTGTAATATAATAGCTATGTGAGAGACATATGTTGTAGTTCCAGTAGGCAAGCTACTCAGTCAAAATAGACATTTTTTCCCTCATTAAAGGCCAGACTCTTCCCAAGTTTGCAGTATTTTTAAGAATCATCAGACAGTAATTGAGTAAGCATCAAAATTGACCTTTGGCCAATAATAATACAATATTAGATTTTCTCTAAATGAATTTAGCAAACACAACAAATTGGTCCATCCATTAGTATCTTTAGGATTTTAAAAGAACAGAGTGTAACTACTGTAAAGGAATCTCATTTTTTGTTCTTTGTTATAGTTGGCATATGGCATTGCTGCACTAAAATTTTTAACAATAGGTTCCTGAGTTGTATAACCATGTTTTACACCAAAGAGGGAAAAAATCAGCTTCTCTCTGGAATTTGTTTGAAAACTTTTTATAAAGCTTTTTTAAAGCTAAAACTTAAAGCATTTTTGTCTCTTTTTAAGTTTTTGTTTTTCTGCATAGAGAAAATAGGTATTATACTCATATATGCTACAGTTGCATTTCTAAAACTATTTTTATATACTGTTGTCAGCCAGATGTAGCATTGTAAAATAATGTGCTTTAGCACAAGTTCAGCAGTTCAAACCCACTAGCCACTCCTCAGTAACCTTGTACAGGGTCTCTATGACTGGGAACCTACACAGAGTCACTTAATAATAACAACACTCAGCCAGATAATCTCAATAAGCAGTTCATATATGTTATTTCATTTACCATAATTAAAAGGAACAAGGGAAAGGCCTAGGATCATGGAAATCTTAAATCCATTTCTAGTCTTTATTATCTTTCTAATGCTTAGTTTTTCTATTTGCAGTCTTGCTCCTTCTTCAATTCTAATGCTGTGCCCCTGAAAGTCACAATGGTGAATGATGATCCAATGGGGGATGAAATTAATGTCATGTTTAAGGTGAGCAAAATAGAGCTACTTTGTTATTAGGAATTTTGTTTTGTTGTGGTAAACATTTGCCATTTCAACTGTTTTTACATGTATAATTCAATGTTAATAATTATGTTCATGAAACCCTGGTGTGGCACTGTAGGATAAGCAATCGGATGCTGCTAACCACAAGGTCAGTGTTTCAAACCCACCAGCCCCTCCTTGGAAATCCTATATAGGGCCGCTATGAGTTGGACTTGACTCTATAGCACTTAACAACAATAACTACATTCACCATGTTGTATAATGACCACCACTATCTATTTGCAAAAATTTTCTTCATTCTTAACAAAAACTCAGTGTCCCATAAGCAATGCCTCCCCAATTCTCCATCCTACCTTGCCCTGTTAACATTAATTAATTTTGGCCTCTTTGTATTTGCCTGTTCTAGGTGTTTCATATGTGTTTGTTGTTAGGTGCCGTCAAGTTGGTTCCAACTCATAGCGAAATACTGCCTGCTCCTGCGCCATTCTCACAATTGTTGTCATGTTTGAGTCCATTGATGTCACCAGTGTGTCAATCCCATCTTCTTAGGGTCTTCATCTTTTTCAGTGACCCTCCACTTTTCCAAGCATGATTTCCTCCTGGGACTAGTCCCTGCTAACAGCATTTCCAAAGTACAAGACCTAAAGTTTCGCCATACTTGCTTCTAAGAAGCCTTCTGGTTGTACTTCTTCCAAGACAGGCTTTTGTTGGTTTTTCTGACAGCTCGTGGCACTTTCATTATTCTTATTCAACACCATAGTTTAAATGCAACAATTATTCAACAGTTTTTCTTTCTTTGTCCAACTTTCACATGTATATGAGGCAGTTGAAAGTACCATGACTTGGGTCAGATGCACCTTAGTCCTCAAACTGGTATCTTGGCTTTTTAACACTTTAAAGAGGTTTTTTTTACAGCAGATTTGCCTAATGCAATATGTCATTTGAGTTCTTGACTGCTGCTTCCATGAACATTGATTGTAGATCTAAGCAAAATGAAATCTTTGACGGTTGAATCTTTTCTCCATTTCTCATGATATTATTTATTTGTCTGATTCCTGGTGTGATGCTGTAGGATAAGCACAGGACAGCTAACCACAAGGTCAGTGGTTCAAACAAACCAGTTTGCTCCTCAGAAACCCTATAGGGTCTCTATTAGTAAGTATTTCGAGTTCTCTTCACTTCCATCAAGCAGAGTTGTGTCATTTGCATAGTGCAGATGAGCAAGTATGTTGAAAGGATACAACACCAGCACACACCTTTTCTGATTGGAAACCATTCCGTTTCCCCTTGTTCTTTTGTAACAACTGCCCCTTTGGTCTTTATATAGGTTTCCCATCAGAACAATTAAGTGTCCTAGAATTCCCTTTCTTTGTAATGTTATCCATATACTTGAATTCTTTTGCATAGTCAATAAAGCACAAGTTAACATTTTCCAGGTACTCTCTGCTTTCAGTCAAGATCCATTTGTTATTAGCAACGACATTCCTCATTCCACATCCTTTTCTTATTGCAGCTTGAATTGTTGGCAGTTCCCTGTTAGTGTACTGCTGCAACTGTTTTTTTTAATTATCTTCAGGAAAATTTTACTTGCATGTGATATCAATGGTATTGTTCAGTGATGTCCACATTCAGCTGAGTCACCTTCAGAATGTACACAAATATGGATATTTTCCAATCATTTGGCCAGGTAGCTGTCTTCCAGATTACTTGGCGTGAACAAGTGAGTGCCTCCAGCTCTGTATCAGTGTTTTGAAACATTCCAATTTGTATTCCATCAATTCCTGAAACCTTGTTTTTCACCAGTGCTTTCAGTACCATTAGTTCTTGATCATATGCTACCTCTTGAATGGTTGCCCATCAACCAATTCTTTTTAGTACAGTGACTCTATTTCCTTTATCTTCTTTTGATGCTTCATGTGTCATTCAATACCTTGCCCATGGAATCCTGCAATATTACCGCCTGAGGCTTGAATTTTTTCTTCAGTTCCTTCAATTTGAGAAATGCTGAACATGTTCTTCCCTTTTGGTTTTCTAACTCCCAGATCTTTGCACATTTCATTATAATGCTTGGCTTTGTCTTCTTGAGTTATCCTTTGAAATTTTCTGTTCAGCTCTTTTACTTATTCGTTTCTTCCCTTCACTTTAGCTTGTTTACCCTCAAGAGCAAGTTTCAGACTCTCTTCTATATCTATTTTTGACTTTTCTTTCTTTCCTTTTTATAACCTTATGCTTTCTTCCTGTATGATGTTCATCGTGTCATCCCACATCTCTTCTGGTGTTTGGTCATTAGTGTCTAATGCATCAAATTTGTTCTTCAGATGATCTCAGAATTCATGTGGAATAGACTCAAGGTCATATTCTTGTTCTTACGGACTTTCCTCAGCTTCAGCCTGAACTTGCATATAAGCAATTGGTGGTCTGCTCCAGACTGTCTCTGGCCATGTTTGGGCTGATGATACTGAGCTTCTCCATCATGTCTTCCCACAGCTGTAGTCAGTTTGATTCCTGTGTGTTCCTTCTGGTGAAGTCCTTGGGTACAGTTGCTGTTTATGGTATTTACAATGCTGTTTATGGTATTTACAATGAATAAATCATTTGTCTTGCAAAATACTATCATGCTATGTACAGCATCATGTCTATCTCCAAGGCCATATTTTCTAACTCTACTGATCTTTCATGTAAGTGGAATCATTCAATATTTGTCGTTTTGTGACTGACTCATTAACTCAACATAATGTTTTCAGGGTTTGTTCATGTGGGAGTATGTATTAAATCTTCATTTTTCTTTATGATTAAATAATATTTCATTGTATGGGCATACCAAATTTTGTTTATCCATTTGTTGGTGGACATTTGAATTGTTCCTATCTTTTGGCTGTTTTGAATTTTGCTACCATGAACATTGGTGTACACAAGTTCGTCTGAGTCCCTGCTTTCAAATTTTCTGGGTATACATACAGGAGTACAATGGGTCATATGGTAATCTGTGGTTAACTCTTTGAGGAATTTTGAAACTGTTTTTCACAGTGTCTTCACCATTTTATAATACCACTCTGGATGTCTTTATGGATAAGGGTCCCCATTCACCACTTCCTTGCCAACATGTTGTTTTCCATTTAGTAGCCACCCTAGTGTGAGGGAAATGATATTTCCTTGTGGTTTTGATTTTTACCTCTCTAAGGAGCTCTGGTAGCGTAGTGGTTACGAATCGGGCTGCTAACTTTAAGGTCAGTGGTTCGAAACTACCAGCCTTCCGCGGGAGAAAGATGAGGCTTTCTACTCCCGTAAGGATTTACACCCTCGGAAACCCTGTACAGGGTCACTATGGGTCGGAACCGACTCGACGGCACTTAACAACAACAACAACAATGACCCCTTGGAAACCCTACACAGGGTTGCTATGGGTCGGAATCGACTTGACGGCACTTAACAATACCAGTGACCCCCAGCATTTAATTGTGCTCATAAGGAATCTGTACCTGGACCAAGAGGCAGTTGTTCAAACAATTGCTAAACCATTGTTGAATGGTTTAAAATTAAGAAAGGTGTGCAACAAGGTTGTATTCTTTCACCATACTTATTCAACCTGTACGCTGAGCAAATAATCTGAGAAGCTGGGTTCTATGAAGAAAAACATGGCCTCAAGATTGGAGGAAGACTCATTAACAACCTGAGATATGCAGATGATACAACCTTGCTTGCTGAAAGTGAAGAGGACTTAAAACATTTACTGATGAAGATCAAAGAGCACAACCTTCTTTCTGTATGGATTACATCTCAATGTAAAGGAAAGAAAAAATCCTCACCATTGGACCAATAAACAAGATTCTTATCAATGGAGAAAAGATTGAAGTTGTCAAGGACTTTATTCTTCTTGAATCAACATCAACACTCACGGAAGCAGCAGTCAAGAAATCAAACAACGTATTGCATTAGGCAGATCTGCTGCACAAGACCTTTTGAAAGTGTTGAAGAGCAAAGGTATCAGCTTGAGGACTAAAGTGCACCTGACCCAAGCCATAGTATTTTCAATAACCTCATATGCATGTGAAAGCTGGACAGTGAATAAGGAAGACCGTAGAACAATTGATGCTTTTGAGTTATGGTGTTGGAGGAGAATACTGAAAGTGCCATGGGCTGCCAAAAGAACCAATAGATCCATTTTGGAAGAAGTACAGTCAAGAGTGCTCCTTGGAAGCCAAGATGGCCAAACTTTGTCCCTCGTCCTTCAGACATATTGTCAGGAGGGACCAGTCACTGGAGAAAGATATGTTTGGTAAGGTGAGGGTCAGAGAAAAAGAGGAAGACCCTCAACGAGATAGACTGGCCAAGTGGCAGCATTGATGGACTCAGGCATGACAAAAGTAGTGAGGTTGGCCCAGGATCAGGTAGTGTTTTGTTCTGCTGTGCATAAGGTTGATATGGGGCGGTACCGACTCTATCACACCTAACAACAACAGCAACAGTGACCCCCAGCAAGATGGACTGGCCAAGTGGCAGCATCAATGGGTTCAAGTGTGGCAACAATAGTTAGGTTGGCCCAGAATTAGGCAGTGTTTCAGTCTGCTGTACATAAGGTTGCTGTGAGTCAGCACCAATTCAATGGCACCTAACAACAACAACAAGTGATGAACAATTTATAGACTCTTTTCATGTGTTCTTTTTCCCAGTGTTATTTTTTCTGCTTAAGGCTTACTTGAACTTCATGTTTTAGACTTACACTTTTACTGTCTATAGTGTTTTTTTAGTATATCGTTGTACAGTTTTTTTACGGTTGCTCTAGGTATTCCATCATACCACAATTTACTCATTTTGCCAGTGCTGTCAAAGTGTGGAAATCTCACCTGCCATTAAGTCCCCTTATTTTCACCTCTTTATAATTATGTTAAGTATTTCTTTCATACACATTTTAAAACCACATCAGTTATGATTGTGGCTTCAGCCACCAAGATAATTTAGATAACTTGAAAAGGGAAGGGAAAGTTTACTGTGTTGACTCATATTTTGCTTACATGTTATTTTTTTCTTACTGTTACAATTTTCCTTTTTTCATTGTTTTCTTTCTGTTTAGAGAATTTTCTTTACCATTATTTTAGGGTAGGTCTGCTGGCAACTAAAGTTGTTGTTTTTTTAATTATGAAAATATCTTGATTTCTGTTTGTATGTCTTACACCTAGATGAATTTTAAACTTCAAACTTTCTAAATTTATAGGTAAATTTTAATAATGATTAAGACATACTGAGTCTTTACAAGTGCTTTATGTATATAAGCATTTACTTATTTAACCATTAACAAAAACCCTAGATAGCTGATGAACTAGATAATTTTTTCCATTTTTCATTTTAGGAAACTAAAATGAAGAGGTTGTGTAAATTTCTCCAGACCCCTGCAGAAGAATAAAAAGACAGTTCTCTTTAGCTCACTCTTCACTTTTCTCACCATTCCTTTCCTCCCTCTCTCCTACCTCCAATTTTCATAGGATGTGAGCCTGGTGGCACTGGACTGCTAATCACAAGGTCAACAGTTCAAACCTACTGTCACTCAGTGGAAGAAAGATGAAACTGTTTCTGTAAAGACTTACAGTATGACTTACAGAACAAGTCAGAATTGATTCAGTGGCAAGGGTTTTTGGGTTTGGTTATTCTCTTAATTTTCTGGAAAGGTACACATTTCAATTTTGTTACTTTGATTTCAAGGTTGGTGAAGATTTACGGCAAGATATGCTAGCTTTACAGATGATAAAGATTATGGATAAGATCTGGCTTAAGGAAGGATTGGATTTGAGGATGGTCATATTCAAATGTCTCTCAACTGGCCGAGATCGAGGTATGTCTGTTAGCTTGTTTCTTAATTGTTTGGCTTTTGTTTTTTCTGTGAATTTAGGTGATTATGTCATTTTCCCTAATGCATATAGCAGACAAGTAAGATCTCATTGTTTTATTTTAATCTAGTGTTATCTAGCAGCATCTATTAGTTGACCCTACCAGGGCTTTATAAGAAGCCCTGGTATGTACTGGATTATGAACTGGGCTGCTAACTGCAAGGTCGGAAGTTCTAATCTTCCAGTCCCACAGGAGAAAGAGGAGACTTTCTGCTTCCGTAAAAGTTTACAGCTGTGGAAACCCTATATAGGGGTCACTATGAGTCAGAACCAACTCAGTGGCAAACAGCCACTACCAGGGCTTTATGGTCTTCAGCTTTTGCATTTAAAAAATAAGACCTTATTTAAATTAAACCAACTTTGACTATATTCCTGCAAAATAAAGTAATGGTTACAAAGTTTTATTATTGCCGCATATGTAAACTGAGAATAATAATAATAATAATAATACCCTCATAGGGATTCCTTTTGTGGTGCCATAGGATAAACACTGGACCGAAAAGGTCAGTTTGACCACAAGGTCTGAAATTCCAATACACCAGCTGCTTCTCAGAAACCCTATACAGGGTCACTGTGAATCAGAACCAACTTGACGGTACTTAATAACAACCCTCATAGAAAAACTGTAATAATTAACAGTTAATAAAATAGATAACAAATGTAAAGCAACCCATTTTTTGATACATGATGTTATTGTGGTAGTGGTGGTGTGCCGTGGAGTCGATTCCAACTCAAGCAACCCTGCATAGGTTTCCAAGAATGGCTGATGTAGTTAGCAGTTAGAAGTCCAGTGCTTACCCTATAGTGCCACACCAAGACACATAGTTCTCAATAGATGATAACCATTACCATTATTCTTAATCAACAAATATTGTTGCTTCTGTACCATCTGCAAAGTGCTAAGAGCATGTAGTGTTTATATTCTATAAGGGAATAATTAAATACATATTTAAATACAAAGAATTATAAATGTTCTAATAAGCTGAAAGTTCTCCTAATAGAATTATCAAGGCAATGGTATGGGGCTTCAAAGGGGATAAAGATCACCTACGGTTGGAAGCAATGAGAAATTTTGTACTTATTCTAATCATGGACTTTAGGATATCACCTGAAAGATTATTTTATCTAATCATCCTTATAATATTTGCCATCAAATTTATGCTTAAACACCTCTAGTGAAAGCACGTCACTAATTTTCAGGTTGGTTCATCTTGTCCTGGATAGCTCTGACAGCTGTAGAGTTCTTTTTTCTTTCTAGGTGAATGGAGACTGACTCCTGGTGTCTTTTACCCATGAATTCCAGTCCTGTTTATATAGAGTATCATGTAACTAACTTGAATCCCTCTTTTAAATTACAAAATGATCAATATTGTGGCTTTCTCAAGTCCCAAGTTCTAAATTCTTAATCCATTTACTGTATGTGACTTTAAATTCCCTTATCACCTAATTGTTCTCCTGGAAAATGATTTAGGTAATCCATAGACTCTAAGAATGACTACTGGATTTTGCAGAATGCAAAATGTAAACCAGTAGACCTATGGAACTTACGTCACAAATACCAGTGTCTAGACTCCTAGAGCCACTATAACAAAATATCACAAACTCAGTGGTTCATAAAAGCAAATTTTTTGTCACACAGTTCTGGAGGCTAGAAGTCCAAATCAGGGTATTGGCCACATTGATTCCTTCTGAGGACTTTGAGAGAAAAAATTTTTCATGCCTCTTTCCTAGCATTTGGTTGATCCTCACAATCCTTAAAGTTCCTTGGCCTGCAACTGCATTTGCCTTCATCTTCACATGGCCATTCTTCCTCTGTCTCTCTGTCTCTGAGTATATTCTCTTTTATAAGGATACTAGTCATATAGAATTAAGAACCTCTCTACTCTGGAATGGTCTCATGAACTGACAACATCTTGAAAGATCCCATTTCCAAATAAGGTCCTATTCACAGGTAAAGAATTAGGACTTCAACAAATCTTTTGGAGCTCCATAGTTCTATACATAATACATATTAGCACCTTCAGAGCCACATCTTGGTAGTCCTGGTGTGGCACTGTGGGTTAATGCTCTGGACCTCAATGTCATTGCAGCAGTTCAAACCCATCAGCCACTCCTTGGAAACCTTACACAGAGTTGCTATGGGTTGGAACTGACTTGACAGAACTTAACAACAACAAAGCCATATTTTAGTCCTGGATAAGCACTGGACTGAAAAGTCGGTTTGAACTGCAGTGTCAGTGGTTCAAACTCACCAGCCACTCAGAAACCTAATACAGAGTTGCTGAGTTGGAACCAGCTCAATGGCACTTAACAACAACAACAAAAGCTATATTTTTACTATCCTATGCATTTTGTTCTTGACTGCTGCTTCCATGAGTGTTGATAGTTGGTCCAAGAAGAATGAAGTCCTTGACAACTTCAATTTTTTCTCTGTTGATAAGAATGTTGTTCATTGGTCCTGTGGTGACAATTTTTGTTTTCTTTACATTGAGATTCAATCCATATCAAAAGCTGTGCTCTTTGATCTTCATCAGTAAATATTTTAAGTCTTCTTCACTTTCAGCAAACAAGGTTGTATCATCTGCATATCACAGGTTGTTAATGAGTCTTCCTCCAATCCTGATGCCGCATTTTTCTTCGTATAACCCAGCTTCTCGGATTATTTGCTCAGCATACAGGTTGAATAAGTATGGTGAAATAAGTATGGTGAACATTAGCTTACATACAACCCTGCCACACACCTTTCTAAATTTTAAACCATTCAGTGTTCCCATGTTCTGTTGGAACAACTGCCTCTTGGTCCAAGTACAGATTCCTCATGGGCACAAGGAAGTGTTCCGGAATACTCATACTTCACAATGTTGTTCATAGCTTGTCATGATCCATGGAAGCAGCAGTCAAGAAATCAAACAACATATTGCATTAGGCAAATCTGCTGCACAAGACCTTTTTAAAGTGTTAAAGAGTGAAGATGTCAGCTTGAAGACTAAGGTGCGCCTGACCCAAGCCATGGTATTTTCAATAACCTCATATGCTTGTAAAAGCTGGACAGTGAATAAGGAAGACTGTAGAAGAATTGATGCTTTTGAGTTATGGTGTTGGAGGAGAATATTGAAAGTGCCCTGGGCTGCCAGAAGAACCAACAGATCCGTGTTGGAATAAGTGCAGCCCGAGTGCTCCTTGGAGGCCAGGATGGCCAAACTTCATATCTCATACTTCGGACATATCATCAGGAGGGACCAGTCGCTGGAGAAGGATATCATGTTTGGTAGGGTGGAGGGTCAGAGAAAAAAGAGGAAGACCCCCAGCAAGATGGATTGGCAAAGTGGCAGAATCAATGGGCTCAAGCATGGCAACGATAGTGAGGTTGGCCCAGAATCAGGCAGTGTTTTGTTCTGCTGTGCATAAGGTCGCTATGGGTCGGTACCAACTCGATGGTACCTAACAACAACAACAAATACATTTTGTATCTTATACCAAAGTATATGACCTAAACTACTTAACTTTCTTCTTGTTTTAAGCCATTATTTTCTAGAGTCTACTGGGCTTTTTTAAAATCTGATTTTTGTTTTCTGTCAACAAACCTGTTTGTCTCATGAACCGATTTGATGAATATACTCTGTAGCTTCTGTTAAGTCATTGATAAAAATGTTTGCCAAGAAAGGGCCAGGGACCAACCCTTGTGACATAGCAGTGGAGGCCTCTTTTCAGGTGGTGGTTGAATTTTTTAGGTCAGTTTTCTTACTGGTTGTTTTTTATATACATATTGTAAGGTAGAACTTGTTTTTATCAAAATAACTTAACCAGAACCTACCATCTCGACTAGCTTAGTTTTTCTGTAACCACACTTAATTCACATAGTTGAACTTCTGTTCGTCCTTATGAACTACACCTAACTTCGGAAACTTAAATTTTTCTTGTTTTTTAGGTAGTTGCTAACTAAAATTTGCATGCTTATTTTGTGTTGAATGAACTTTTTTTTTTTTTTTTTAATTGTGTTTTAGGTGAAAGTTTACATAGCAAATTAGGTTGCTGTTTATCAGTGTTTATACAAATTGTTCTATGACATTGGTATTACCTTCGCTTTTTTTTTTTCAAGTTTTTTTTTTTTTTTAATGTTTTGTGAATTTTGTGATAGTTGACATGGGAGAAGATTAGCTTTACATTCATTGTATCATATATCATTTCATTGCCATGGTTACATCCCCTCCATGCATCATCATCCAACCAAAGGGTATACCCTGCAAGCCTGCACCACAGTTGTCAGCACACAGCCCCTCTCCCTCTCTGGATCTAGAGTCCCCAGCCACTCCATCTCACCATGTCATCGTCTCTGCCTTCATCTCTGGCATCACTGTTTCTCTGGGTAGGGTCCCGTACTCCATTCTTCTCCCTTGATGGTCCCAAGAACCTCCCCTCCTTTTGCTACAAAATGTCTACCTTTATGTTTCCAACCCTCACAAGTCAGTCCTGATAACAATTATTGTACCACAAGAGACCTATCCCCATCTCCTTTCATCAGCCCCACCCAGACAGATTGGATACTACTCAGTGGAGATTCTACTCTCCTCTGCGCCCTCTGGATCTAGGCTCCCTCGTGAAAGTTTGTAAGCCAGTTACTTCTTGCTTTTGTAGCCTCCCCCCCTTTTGGGGTAGCCAATGTCTAAGTTGACCATCCCTGTCTACTCTGTGTATGGAGGGGTGGGAATGATCCTTGCTATAAAGATTTGTTCCTTCTTTTGAGCTACTGCATCCATAGGTGTAGGTCAGATTCATCAAATTGTTATCAGATTACTCTTTTTTTCCTTCTTCTTCTTCTAGTTGAGCTCTGGTCTAGTGGATATTATCTGCAAGTGTGGGTGTCCTTATGCACGTGCCCTCTCTTCTTATCAGTTGGACACTTTACCCTCCACTCTAGTCCTTTGTGGCTATGTCACTGACTCTGTGCCCAAGAGTCCCCAGGTCTTGTCACACTGCTGGCCAACCAGATCTCCACCTGGGTTCACAGGAGTCTATTGAACATTGTAGAGCTTAGCTTGCAACTTCATTGCTGTTTTTCCCTCACTTTTCCTTATTGGTGATGAATGTGGTCACCAATCAGAACGCATGTCTGCTCGTGTATTCCCATTGAGTCTTAGTCTTAGAAGGGGGTTTGCCCTGAGGGGACCTGACCACTTGCTCTGATATCTCCTGGGCAAGCAACTTGCTTGTTCTTGTAGTAATCAGTCGGACTGCTTTTATTGTTTTGTGTTTTTCCTGTTGGTCTTTCTTTCAAGAAATGTCTTGTGTTCTTCTGGCTGCTTCAGGCTGGACTGTTTGTCCTTTCAAGTGGAAATTTCCCGCCTCAGAAGATTCTGGATGGGGTTCAGGATTCTACCTATGGTCTTATGTAATTCAGAAGCTTCATAAGAAGCCTCCTTCACTGAGCACATTGTAGCCCCATTTTAGGTATTCCAATCAGTTATAGGCAGAAAATGGACTTATGAGCTTTCTATGGTGATATTTCTGGCTATTCCTGTCTCTCCCACTCAAGTGTCTATTTTATAATGGTATGCTAAGGAAACCAAGATTCAAAAGATAGTAAAGCATCTTAACATTATTTCCCCCCTTTTGCCCACTGAATGAAATTCTTTTGTACTAAGCATTTCATTTGTATCATCTCACTGAAAGGTATCCAGTATACTTATTTTTCAAATGAAGAAATCACAGCCACGTCCTCTGACGTTTATCACAAGCACTTCACCGCTTATCTTTCCCTTCTCTGAACTCACAATTGTCTTTAATACTCACTAGACATTTACTTCATATTACTGTGATCTTGCATAGTTTTTCTTTCCACATACTTTATATCTGCTCCTCTGGATTGACGATAAAATTCTTTCAGTGCAGTATCTTATATAGTACTTCTTCATGTATCTTATGAACTCCAGTTCTTTTTTTTTTTTTTTTTTTTTGTATGTACCAATTGTGATTTTTATATTTGCGATAAAAGTTTGAGCCACTGTAATCAAGATAGAGATACCCATGGAAAAGGGATGCCACTGTAAGATACTGACTAGTTGGTACAACCAAGACAGTAAAAAGATCCAGATGA